CTCAGTGTACTAGCTGTAGACATTTCACAGATGCCCTTTATCTAGTTGGGAGTAGTTCCCCGTGCTCTTCATTCGCCATGTGTTCTTCAGATGCAAGCAAGGGAAGCCTTAGCTTTCATGTGCAAAATTCTGTAGACCCTGATGACAAAACGGGCTAATGTAAGAGTCCAGCAGAGGAGCTAACACATGCCTGCTACCCTACCAGCTCAGGGGAATCCCTGACTGGGCATTAGAGCCAGACACACCCAGGACTACAGCTCAGATCAGCATTTGGTGCTGGGTGTTACATAAGCCTCTCTAAGCCTCAATTTCCTTATCTCTACAGTGGGAGTAATAATAGTACCTACTTCACAGGCTGATGCATTATGCTAACAGGTAGTGGTAGATGTGATTTAAATCATGACCTTACTGAGTACTCTGGGTGTAGAAGCTGTGTGCATGACAGATGTCAGATAACTTGAGATGTGATGTGGTCCTTGTCCTTGAGCCACGGTAATGACATCAAAGTGTACTGTACCCATTACTAAACAGAGGTTAGCATGTGATGGGAGTGACTGACAGAGTGGCCTGAGCGGGGCCAGGACAGACCATGGAGGCAGAAAGCCATGGGGGCGGGGAGGAAATACTGGCAAAGGGTGAGGGAACCCGGGGTGCATGGCTGGCAGGTCACGGGTTGCTCCTCTGCCTGGGCCGTGTAATGGGACGGGCAGTGTGAGATCGGGGTTGTGCTATGGAGACTGACAAAGTAGGACTGTGGGCTCTGTTCTGGAAGAATGGTGGATGGATTGCACACATTCTGGAGAACTTACTGACAGTAAGAACATGAGACGTGAAGAGTTAGGTGGAGCCTCAAGCTGTGGCTTCAGGCAGTAAAGTGATGGCGGCGCTGTGGCCCGTGTGTTGGGAATAAACTTCTTGGCAGGAGATTGAAAGTTATAGAAAGGTTGGTGTGAAGTAGAGAGTTGAGAAAGAAACTTGTGAAAGGGATGAGTCAGTGACAAAGGAGATTACTGCAAAAGTCAGAGGAGGTAAGGGACAAGAAAAAACCCTGGGGCAGGCAAAACTCTCAAAAAATCTAAGACATTAAGTTATTAAGATTTGGTAATCATTCCTTCCTTTGAAATTCACTCATCTCCACAGGCTTTGCTTGTGAGTCCCTCCTTAGCCTAGCTAACTGTGCTTGGAAGGTGGTTCCTGGCCCAGATGCTACCTCATCCTCTCAGCTCCTGTAGGCTCTCAGAGCCCCACAGTTGATCCCATATGTCTGTTTTATTTCATCTCCAGTAAAGTTACTGTTGAACTCCCCACACCTGGCTCAAATCTAGGCTTCAGTGTACAGATATTGATCAAAGGGGACCAGAAGAGAGAAGCAGATGCTGGGTAGCTACAGCCACTGGGAGACAGAGGGGAAGATGCTGGAGGGGCTTGTAAGTGCCCCAGTCAATCACAACCCCACTGATGGGTAACTCAGGAGACAGCGATGGCTGTGATGGAATGGGGCTGGTTGGCTGAGTGGGTGGCAGGGTGTCAGTCTCTGCTTGCTCAGACCCCACCCCCCCATAACTGTAATGGAACCAAACAGCCCAGGAGCTGTACCCAATCAGACTTGATAAAGAGATTAGGCAGCTTGCTGTACCATACCCATTCAGGCAGGAAAGTGAACTCTTATCTTAGAAAGTTCTTCCCTTTTCTAAATAAGGGTTGTCTAGATAATGATTCAGTGAAAGAGAAATCTGATTAATTGCAAAGCTCCATTCTCCAAGTTTTTTTTTTTTTTATCTACTCTAGCCTTCCAGGAGCTTCTGAATGACTTAACAAGTATTGATGCATTTCTGGAAATGTGGGGGATTTGAGGGAATTTTTGTTAGTTTGCATGTCTAAGATAGGGTCTTACATGTAGCCCTGGCTGGCCTGAAACTTGCTGTATAGACCAGGCTGGGCTTGAACTCACAGACCTTGGTCTCCCAAGTGCTGAGATTACAAATGTTTGCCACCATGTTCCACTAATTTAAAAAATGCTATTAACAGTTGAAATTTATGTGGTGTCTGGATTTGCTTTAAAATAATGAAAATGAGGATAAAGTAGGTACAAAGCAAACTGGCCCAGGGCTGACCACTGGAGATGATGGCCATTAGGACACCTAATGACATTAGGTATCCATTATACTATTAACCACTACTGTGTGTGCATGGGAAGCCTTATCTAAAAACACTTGTTATGGGCTGGGCAGTGGTGGCGCACACCTTTAATCCCAGCACTTGGGAGGCAGAGGGAGGTGGATCTCCATGAATTCAAGACCATCCTGGTCTGCATAGTGAATTCCAGGATAGCCAGAACTACATAGTAAGACCCTGACTTGGAGGGGGGGCACACATGTTCACTAAATGTTAGTTCCTCCACAAATCTATGTCTGACCTGATCTACCCACCCCCCAAAAGGTACCAAAACCCAAGAAGCTCAACTACAACCTTTAGAACCAAAAGTCTAAAGCCAAGGGTAGTGCCTTGGGCTTGGCCTCTGCCCTCAATAGGCCAAGGCATGAGGATGCATGCTAGAGTCCAGTCTGAGCTCTATAGTGAAACCCTATCTCAAAGTATCAAGGGCTGGGAACGTAGCTCAGTAGTAGAGCATCTGTCCAGTGTGCTCAATGCTGTTTGATCACCAGTACTGTGGGGATGAGTTCGTATCAAAGTGATGCTTGCAATGCCACTTTTATCTCTATAAGCTAAATCACTCAAGTTATTCCTGGGACTAAAGAGATGGCTCGAGATTAAGAACACTGGCTGCTCTTCTGGAGGATCTGGGTTTGATTCCCAGGACCCACATGGTGATTCAAATCATCTGTACTCCCAGATCCAGGGCATCCAATGCCACCTTCTTGCTTCCTTAGGTACCAGGCATGCAGGTATGATATATATAGATACGTCTATACACATAATATAGAGATAACTTTTTAAACATTCATCTATTATTCTGTGTGTATGGGCGTTTTTCCTGTGTCTGTGCACTACATGCAAGTCTGGTGCCCTCAGAGATGGGCTGCATATCAAACCCAGGTCCTCTGCAAGAACAAGCATTCTTAACCACTGAGCCAACTCTCCAGCCCAAATAACCAACTTCTATAAAATGTTTTATAATTTCCTATGTAATCATAGTTGATATCCTCTTTGGCCTGACACTTACACTTCCTAACTGCAGTCCTCCCTTCTGGAATTGTTACACAGAAATCTTTCTTCTCTCACCATTTCTGGGACTGGCAGCTGAGGTGGCCAGTGACTAAGCCTGGGGCTGGAGCTCATCCACAGGTTACCTAGGTCGCTGTCTGCTAGTTGTGTGCTGGGTGCCACAGTGAACAAGAGGCAGTGAGTTTGGTCCAAATGGGCTGTGAAGAAACACTGGTGACCCCGAACACACCAGTGTTCTGAGGAACACGGCACTCAGGCCAACTGAATGGAGGGAGAGCTGGGACTGGTCCCCAATTAATCTGCTTTCAAGGAAAGACCTGGAGAAGAAAAAAATGGAAGTAGCAGGGGTGGGGGGGCAGTGATTAAAACAGGGAAGGGTTTGGGTGTAGGAATCGTGCCTTGGGGTTAACCTTGGAAAATAAAACAATACTAACCTATGCATTACATGTGCACAGAACAAAGAACGAAGATGGGATTGCGAGATAGGAGAGGGCTTGCATCAGGGTGTGCAGCTTTACCCAGAAAGCTGGACAGAGTGACATGACTAGACATGGGTCCCTGAAAGTCCCACTGTGAGGCAGAGACGGACAGACTGGGATGGAGTATACATTGTGTGTGTCAGATAGGAAATGACATAACCAGGCAATGAGTGATGACAGGAGGCTGGAAAAAAGTGGATGGACTTGGAATTGAGAAGGTAACCTGACAGGTCAGCATTAAGGGACAAAGGAGGAGACGACAAGGATATCAAGGGCGATGTTCTAGATCTGGATATGGAGGCCATTTACAGGATGAAGTCTTCTCTGACCCATGGAACCTTGGCCTCCCTATGCTGGCAGGAATGAGCATCCCATGAACTTGAGAACTGTGCAGAGGCATATACACTGTGAAGTCTGACCACAGCAGGGGCTCTCCGGGACACTGACCATACTCCCCACTCTGCTCCAAGGTCCTTCCCCTAACAAAGCCTGTGAAGCACTCACCTCTCTCAGGGACGCCCATTCTCAGGCCTAGCGTCTTGCTTCATGTCATGAATTTTTTTCTTGGAGGTGTGGCATTTTGACAAGATAGTGTGCTTATTAGCTCACAGAGTTTCAGGTAAAGAGATTTAGATCTAGGTTGTTACCTCAGGGAAAAAGCCAGTAGTTCCCACAGAGGCTGGCTCTTGTTGGCTGCTCTGTCCAGGTTTGAGGAGTCAGGGTGAGGTGAGCAACTTGGGAAGCTGATATGGAGACAGGAAAGCTCCCACTTTAAACAGAGATGAGCAGAACCTTCTCAGCACTGAACAAAGGGTGCTGGGTCGACCGTCAGCAAGGCACCCACTGTGTCCTCGGTCGCTACCATGGCTTGGGACCCTTTCAAAGCTGTTGGGCCAGTGTAGGCCCTACTAATAGTAATGTACATTATGGGCACAGAGCTCCACAAGTTACCAGACCATTGGGTATAAAAGCTCACAGGTAGCCAGGCAGTGGTAGCTGTGAGTTCCAGGCCAGCCTGGCCTCCAGAACGAGTTCCAGGACAGACTGCAAAGCTACAGAGACACTCTGTCTAGAAAAAAAAAAAAAAGAGCTAGCACTCACCATGTCAAGGGTCTGTCATCAGTTTTCCCTGCATGCAGGCTTCTAGGACCGTCATCTTCTTGGACACACCTCCAGAATCCTCCTGCCTACCCACTCCACATACCTACATCCCTGGTTGAACTTTCAACTCCTCAGCTTGTAGAGAGCCAGCCAGCCAGGACATCACATGGCTCTGACCGCATTTCACCCCTCCCACTGCTCACTGGGCAGCATTGATGGTCACACAGAACAAGCTTTCCAAAAAAAATAAGTTTTTTTATTGTCTTAGATGCAAATATAGTTTTAAAAATGCATTGTAGTGTTGGGTACAGCTGGTGGAATCGTGTCTGTCAACAGCAGGGAATCAAGAGGACCGGGCTCAGGTGGGCAGTCCCAGGGATCTCTGGTTTAGGTGACAGCCACCCTAACCAGGTGTAGCTGCCCTCAAAGGAGCCCTAGACCATCACCAAGGCACACAACACACAGCCTGTGCACAGATGCTGAAACTGGGGGACTTGAAGGAGGAGAACATGCTGTTTCAGCTGAGGCGCTGCAGAGCAGGCAGAGAAAGCCTGCTTTCCCTTTACAGGTGGGGGTCAAGTGACGAAGTGCCTGGGGTGGGGACTGAACCCCTCCGAGAGACACAGCCTAGTTGTCCTTTTAACCTGCAGGATGGAAACTAGGAAATGTATAAAATGTCAGTGTCTCCCTGCCTTGTCCAATCTCAGCTCTTGAGAATGCCAGATCAGAAACCCCAAAGGAATTCGAAATTCACCATGCCCAGAGCTATAAGTGTGGAACCAAAGTTTGGCAGGGAGATACAGGTGAATTCTGCTAAATAACTGGAAAGGAATTTCACAAAAATAAAATTCCACAAAGTAAACACACATGCACACACACAGGCTCGAGCAAGTGCGCGTGCACACACATGTTAACATTCATTGTGGAAAGTTCCCTTTTCTTTCTGCAAGCTCTGACAAGCAGACAGTCCTATCTAGTGAACAGGGAGGCCCATTCCTCAGGGAGCTGGTGGCTGATCTGTTCTTGCCCACATTTGAAGAGACACAGGGTGGGGGCTGTTCTCTAAGGCTTCTCACACTCCTGGTGTCTCCCAACAGCTGTCCGTGGCGCACGCCTTTAATCCCAGCACTCAGGAGGCAGAGGCAGGCGGATCTGTGAGTTCAAGGCCAGCCTGGGCTATGGAGTGAGTTCCGGCATAGGCTATAAACTACACAAAGAAACCCTGTCTCGAAAAACCAAACCAAATCAAACCAAACAAATGAACAAACAAAAATCTCAAACCCTGCAAAACAGATCCTGGCCAAGGTGTGTGCTGAAGGACACAGTTCACACATGCCCTGAGCTTCATGCTCTTCCACGGGAACTGCCCCTTTCCTGTTAGACATGCAGGCCCAGAGCAGGTCCTCTCAACACACTGCAAGGCACCGAGGGGCTGATCCCAAGCTGCACTTCTTGACTACACTGGCATTCTAGATAACTACTCTTGTACTACTGTCCACACATCTTGCCAAGAGGACCACAAGATGACACTGAAAAACCACCTTCCACACACACAGGAACTGAGAGCCTTGAGGAGTCAGGTTAGGATGAACAGAAAGGGTTTTCTGACAGTGTGGAAGGAAGACAAGAGCCAGCAAGTGAATGGAGCTGAGGCCTGAGTTGAGGGCAGGTGATCCATCCCGCAGGCAGCCATAGTGCCACAGGCCACCGGACTACAGCAGGAATGGGTGCCATGTCTCTACAATCTATAGGGATGCCACTCTCTGTCAGAGTATAGATCTGAGGACAGAGGGAGGGAACAGGTCCTGAGCACACAGACAAGATCCAGGTTCACGGTTGGGTCACATGAGAATTCATGCTGGCTGACCATTTCCAGCTTCTTTTAAGACGCAGTATGTCAACACCAAGTCCCGATGCAGCAGTGTTTCCTCTGTGCTGTGTAAAACCACGGGAGCACGGCCAGCCTCTCCTGAGGGTGACAGCTGGTGTATATCCTGTTAACTCTGAGGAAGCCCTTAGCCAGAGCTCCCTACCTCTGCAGCCCTCACTCACTGTGAAAACAGACAGAACATGCGCTGATGGCTTGTGAAGATTTCACAGACACTTGCAGAGATTTCCCAGGTGGCTTTGTGGTTTATCCTTTTAGGTCCATATTCTTATTCTCCAACATGCCCACATTTTGAAGGTTCTTCTTTGTGAGTGGGGACAGGAATGGGAAAGTGAGAGTAACTGTAAACAAACTCTGGTCGAACAGTGTGGTCAGCGCCCAGTGGAGATCCCCAGCGGAGTGGCCTTGACTATTCCCAAATGTCCTGGGTGTACAGAACAGAAGCCAAGGCCAGGACCCTCTGATTGGCCAGGTTCATCAGGCAAGATTTCAAAACAAGAAAATCTCCAAGGTAGAATCATTCCTGGAGATTTTAAAGCATTGTGACCTCACAGCCACAGCAAAAGTGAGCACCAAGAAAAGGGAAATGGAGTCACTAAAAAAAAAAATGCACCTAATAAAGTCTGACAGGACACACACACACTCTCTCTCTCTCTCTCTCTCTCTCTCTCTCTCTCTCTCTCTCTCCTCTCTCTCTCACCCTCATCCTTCCTCCCCCCAATTTTACACAATCGATGAAACAGGATGAGATTAACTCAGCAAGATGGAGAGGTGGGCAAGAGACGCACAGGGCCAATCTTACATCCACAGAGTTTTAAAAACAAGGTTACTCCCCAGCAAGGGTGGACAGAACCAGGACCCTCACAGCCATGGTGTGGCCCGTGTCACGTGGACAGGAGGAGGAAGGGCTGAGCTTCTCGAGACCCTCAAAGCAGCGTTTTAGTTCTTCCTTCTGCCACAGTGGCCTTTATCTTCTGAAGAAAAATTTCACCTTGTTTTTGGGAAAGGAGGGGGTGCCCGGTAGAAATTGCAAGGTCCAGCCTATGCGCTTTGTGTTCATCCCTCAACCTGTAAACATGTTTTGGGGACGCTGAGGAGGACCACCACGCTATTCCCAAACAGGACAGAAATCAGACAGGGAGCAAGCATGAGGTCAGGGGCTCACAGCATCAATGGTGCCGCAGTCAGCAGCCCTTACCCTTCCTTTGTTCTCCACCTTAGTCCAGGGCAGGCCTCAGGCATCACCAGGAGCTTCCGGTGGATCAGTCTCAGAGGACATCCTGGGCTCCTTCTCCATGAGGTCCCCCCACAGCAGGCAGCGCGGTGAGGAGGGGCCAGGACAGAGTCCAAGAAAAAGCCTGCTGCCCGCTCTAGGTGTCACAGCAGGACAAAAAAGGACATTCTTCCTGGGAGGTGCCCTTGACTGGGCTCCCTGAGTGCTGCAGAGAGTACCTCACACCTGTAGCATCTCAGAGGCAGCAAAGAGAAGGATGAGGCTCAAGTGCCACCTTCCCAACCTTTCCCCGTCTCTACCAACTGTAACAAGCTTACTGGGGCAACTGAACCTTCAGACACATGTCAGCCTCCAAACTTTACTGGTCCAAATCTGAGTACAACTCTTTACCATCTAGCATGGAGACAGCTTCAAGGGCTGTCTGTCTGTCTGTCAACTTTCTGTTTCTTCCTCCTAATACAAGATGGGTCAGACTTCTTTAGTAGGATGGCATCTTTGGTCTGAGAGCTGTCCTGATGTGGAGCTCCCAGCTAAACTTCAGATAAAATGACCAGGATGACAGCAGCATCATGGAGTGTGACCTTCTGAATGCTAGAACCAAGGATGACATTGTTCCTGGAGTGTACTGCCTTTTCCACAACTGCAGAGTACAAGTGGGTGGAGAATGGGCCTTAGAGGCTCTAGGCCAAGTCCCTGGCAATGTTGGGAATGCCATGGTGACTGCAATGCCAGGCAGAGCTGAGACATAATAGATGGCACACTGCTTGGAGGGTTTCTGAGTCAGAGCAGCAGCTGTGCAGTGCCTGTGATGTCGCCCTGTACAGCTGGCCTCCATGCCCACCATTTTCCATGTGTGCTCAGGGGTTTGTGGAGATTTCCCCCTTTCAATAGAATGCACCAGAGAGGAGGCACATTCCTTTCTGCAGTGATCAGAAATGTAGCCCAGAGGGCCAGGTGCTGCCAGGGTTGCAGGAGACAGAGACCTCACTGCTGCTATAGTGGCCAGAAGTGTGCAGGGGTTGCCAGAGGAGCACAAGTGGGTACCAATGTGACAGCGGCCAAGGCTCAAGTCTCAAGAAAGGAATTCTGAGGACCCTGGATGATCCCACCTACAGGAGCAGGCTCCGTCTCCTTGTCTGGCACTTGCTGACACTGCACTCCAATAGGCCACCAGGAGGGCAAGAACAGAACAGCCGATGTTTCCCTTTTTCTGGGCCACTCCAAATGCAGGGGAGCCTGGTGATTGAGGTCACTGAGTGAGGGGTCACAGCAAGAGTTCCCAAGATGGGACACAGCTGTGGGCAGGCCCCAAACCTGCTTCAGACCTGAGCACAGCGTCACCCTGACCAGTGCAGTGGGTCACTGGGGTCAAGGGCAGCCCTGAGGCGGTGCATCAGGAAGGGTACAGGGGATCTTCAGGCGTCTCATGCAGCCACATGCCAACTAAGCTTAGGGCTCCCCCAGTCTCTTGCCAATCCTGGAAACAGCCTCTGACGCCTGCTCTGGCAGCTGGGACGGGTCTGTGAGGATGGAGGTGGTGGTGCTCAGCTGCCGGAGGGTGCTCAGTACCACTGTGAGAGAGAGGCCGTCATTAGCCTGGGGCACAAGACTCAGAAAGACAGGATGCAAACTTCCCACATGCAACCCTATACAATGATTCCCAAGCATCAAGGATGATGGCCAGAGCTCAACTGCAGGGAAAAGTGATAGAAGCACCATTCTGGAACCCAGTCTCACATCCGCCTATGCAGGTCCCAGCAGCAGCTGCAAACAGCCCAAGGATGCTAAGCTATTCTTGCTGCCAGAGTATTGCTCTTGCTTTAATACTGGACTTCTATAACTTTAACATATGGGCGTAGCTTTAGAACTAAATAAGAAAACACCAAGCTCACCTAAAACAGAGTCTGACAAACAGCAAATATTTGATAAATGTAAGCTGGATTTGATTAGACTGCAAGCCTAATAGGAGATCAGGGACCCACAAGGGCTCCTACAGCTTTTCTGGTCCTCATGCCTCTGGCCTGGTTAGCTTGGCTGGCCTGGCTTTATGCAGTAGAGTGTAAACCGGTGAGGGTTTTTCTCCCTTCAGGACCAGCATGAAGTTCTAAACTCTGGTATTCCACACTCACTTGGCCTAAGGACAGGCAAAGAGCAGTGCTGGTCCAGCCAGGAAAGCGCTGTCCGGTGAAACTCCTCCAAGCTGCTGGTGGACACCATCCCCTTGAAAGACTCAAACAGTGGCTTGATGATCATGCTGAACTACAGGACTTGCGTTAAGGAAACGGTGAGCACTGAGGAGGGCTAAGGAGCACACAGACAAAGGAAGGAGGCTCAAGGAAGCCAGGCTTACTTGCTGACTTCCCTCAGAAATGGCAAAGACCTGCCTACAGAAGACTGATCAGGGAGAGGAAGGAACAGGTCAGGTATTGCTAGGCAAGGTGTGTCTGCCACGAGAGTCAGAGGTTTGTTCTTACTATGAGTGAGCTTTGAGTAGACAGAAGACAGAAGAACAAGTTTCTTCAGCCTGGTACAGGGATAAACACAATGAGGTGACCATGAGACATAGGTCAGTTAATTACAGGAAACAGCTGTGTGGAAAGAGAGGAGCCATGTAGGCTGCCAGGAACATGAGAGGCACAGCATACAACACTCAAAATAAGTGTTTGTGCCGGGTGGTGGTGGCACATGCCTTTAATCCCAGTACTTGGGAGGCAGAGGCAGGCGGATCTCTGTAGGTTCGAAGTCAGCCTGGTCTACAGAGTGAGTTCCAGGACAGCCTCCAAAGCTACACAGAGAAACCCTGTTTTAAAAAACCAAAAATAAAATAAAAAAATAAAGTGTCTGTCTGAATTTGGGACCCGACTTTGTGTTATACACAGCCTGCAAGTTCACCACTTCTTGCAGAGCTCCCTAGGGTCATAGGATGGGCCCAGGGGAGACAGAAATGTTTCTGATGCCTTCAGTTCCCACCTTGGCCTGAAAATGAGTATGTGTCATGAGGCTACACTGATGGCAGAAAGTAAGACGGCAAGGCAAATCAGGCACTGAGGCATACTGCCAGCCACCTTGAGTCAGGCTGTAGGCTCACGACAGAGTTCTTACCTACACAGTGTATGTGAGGCCTTGAGTCTCATCCTCAATACCAGCACACAGACAGGCATGGTGGCACACCTAAGACAGAGAAGGTATTGCACTGCAAAGCAAGTCCACACTAGCCTACACGACACGCGAGACTGTCTCAAAAACCAGCCAACAAACAAAATATAAACAAACTTGGCTTCTAAAGTACAGGACTCTCTCTCTCTCTCTCTCTCTCTCTCTCTCTCACACACACACACACACACACCCTCACCATGCTTTCTCTCTGTCCACACAATTGTCTTTCCACTGGCTGTCCTATGCTGTAGGTGACCTGTCATACACTGATCATGTTCCAGGCAGGGTTGCTGTTAAGTAGACAGACAGCAATCACTCTGCAATAGCAATGCTGCTGTCTTGAAGTCTGAGATCAGAGCAGCCTTGGACAGAAGACAGGTCCTGGCACCTGATGGACATGCTTTATATGATGCTCAAGACCAGGGGACACAAAGGCAAAGAAAAATCTGAGGGAACAGGTTTCAAACCCTGCCCATAGCTACTTGGGGGGCTAAGGCTGGAGGATCATTTGAATTCAGGAGTTCAAGACCACCTTGGGCACTAACTTACTCACACACACACACACACACACACACACACACACACACACACACACACACACACACGAAATTTTCAAATAATTAACCCCCCCCAATGTGAAGGAGGAGGAGGAGAAACAAAACAAACCACACCACATGGTCTGGTCACTCAGTAATTCTTTCAGTAAGCCATGATTCCTTCCACCTGTCACAGCAGACAGGGCTGCTCACCCTCTGTCACCGAGGGGCCTGAGCTGCAGTCAGGGTCCTCTCCTCCTCACCTTGCTGCCTCTTCAGCAGCAAAAGACTGGAGAGTAAAGGAGCCACCACCCTACCTGCCCCTTCCTGTAAAGCCTCTTGGATGTGGTCTCCCCAGCCCTAGGCCTAGCCCAGAGCCTTCTCTTTCTGAGACAGAAAATAGCTTTGCTAGACCTGAACTCTGACAACTGTGAGAACCTTTCTTCTTCAAGGGGTACCCAAGAGCACTGTCTTCTGTTTCAGTGTGCTGCCTGGGGAAGGGAAGTACAAGGAAATCCAAGGATACAATCCAGAATTTCCAATTCTGCAGGATCCGGCTTTTCACATATTCATCAAACATGTCTTTCATGTGGTCAAACTGGCGGCAGTTGACAGGGACTCCTGTGGCAGGTAGCAGCTGTTGGCAGGAGCTGAAACAACCACAGTTAGGGGATGCTTTGGGTCAGGTGATGGTAGAGGAGGACCCTGGGGGACCAGACAGGCAGCACACAGCTAGATACAGGTAGATGCCTGTGGGGCCAGGACAAGAAACTAAACTGCTGCAATACAGGTAGCAAAGGCCACAACGGGTCCCCTCCGCTTTTTTTTTTTTTTTTTTTTTTTTGGTTTTTAACGAGACAAGGTTTCTCTGTATTGTTTTGGAGGCTATCGGTCCAGCCCGGCCTCGAACTCACAGAGATCCGCCTGCCTCTGCCTCCCGAGTGCTGGGATTAAAGGCGTGCGCCACCACCGCCCGGCCCCCTCCGCTTTTGAGACACAGAGATGCATGGGGTGGAACACTCAGATGGAACCTCACATAATGGTGGTATTGAGCTCCTCAATTTCCTCCCGGAGCCTCCGGGCCTCCTCTTGCATCTGCATCCGCTCCTGTTGCAGCTTGGTGATGTATTCCATGGTCTTCTGCAGTGTGATGGCATGGCTGGTCTGTGGAGGGCAGGAGGCTCAGAGGTGGCAGAACAGGAAAGATTACCATCGCGCCACCTTGACACTCCCAGGCAATTTACCTGCTTGGAATTATTGGAGATCAAACTGTTGAGGGTGTTGAAACCCATCCTGATATTGAAACGCCTCTTCTGTTCAGCTGAGATGTGCTTCTGCCGATTCTATTGAGGAATCAACCAGTCACTGAGACACAGGCCAGACCTTAGGCAACCAACTTGTTTGTCCTTACTGCCCAACACAAAGCTAAGTAGCCAGAGAAAGACTAGTGTCTTGGGGCACATGACAAGTCAGGGCCAGAAAACTAAGCAGAGGGAGAGGCTCTAAAAAGCTCTAAGAGTAGCGAGGTAGCAGGAGTGGGCAGGACTCACAGGCTAGGAAGCAGTTTGTGCCCTGGCCCCTGGTGGTCAGACTTATGGCTTCTCTACAACCCTGTGCTTACAGCTCAGTTTCTTCCCTGCAACCAGTGTGGTCAAGGTTGCATGCACCCCTACCATGTCATGAGGACTCGGGGCTGGTCCTTGGGCCCAGGGAGACTACCCAGAGCTCTGAACAGGTCCTAATCTTCATAGGCTTGTGGTAGGATGGGAACGGTTGGAGCCGATTTAATCTTAGTGTTTCTGGATCTGCGGCTCTCCCTTCCTGATGTTTTCTTCCCTCAGCATCCCTCCAAGGGAATCAAGACCCAAGAAAAATAAACCATACCTTTAATGCAGCCACATTTTTGGGGTCTGAAGATTTCCCTGAGCAGTTGTTCTGGGGAGACTGAGGACTGGGACTTTGTTCTGATGGGCATGGAGAGGCTTGCCCTGAGTTGGGGCAGTCACGGCCTGAGGAAAAAAATATTCTCTTAACAAGCAAACAATTAAGAAGGGGACAGGAGCTGGGCGGTGGTGGCGCATGCCTTTAATCCCAACACTCGGGAGGCAGAGGCAGGCGAATCTCTGTGAGTTCGAGGCCGGGCTGGACCGACAGCCTCCAAAACAATACAGAGAAACCCTGTCTCGTAAAAACCAAAAAAAAAAAAAAGAAGGGGACAGGAAAAATAACAAGTGAGGCTTCCTTGTACCGGTCCCACAGCAGTCCTCACCAACCAGAGGGACTCTCTGGAAGTCCTCAGGCTTGGAAGTCCATTTTTAACCTTTTATGACTACCCCAGAGAAAATATTAGAGAAACCCTTACCCACATCCCAAATGGGATTTCTTGTTTCCAAGGCAAGTTAGATGTGGAATATGGCCTGAATGCTACCCCATCCCAGGTGTCAGCAATTGCTCAGAAGGAGGGTCGAACTGCAAACCCAATACCTAAAATGTCACCTCAAGGCAGCCAGGGGCCCTTACAGGTTTGTAAGGTAATACTCCTAACCCACGTGCTCGGTACACTGGCATCCGCTTTATCTTTGTTCCTTAAACTCTACATGTACACTTTCTTACTCTTTTGGCACTCACTCGGAAAATGTTACATAAAAAGTACTACCACCTCTTAACCCAAACAAAATGTGACCCACACGGGTTCATGTTCCACTCACTGGTGTCCCTTGGGAGCCATTTCCTAGGTCCCTTACAACTTCCCTGGCCTGTTTCACTTTATTCTAACAAACGCTTCCAATTACATTTCTTTTCTCCTAGATTCCCAGGCTTCTGTTCACAGCTCTAAATGTTATTCTCTACGGTCCCACAGGCAAGGCCGCTTCCCTTCCCTGGATAATTTGAGAAACTTGACTTCTGTCTCTTGAGTCTGTATCTTTCCAGACTGAAGAATCCCATTCTTCAACACCTGCCCTTGGACAAGTCCACCCTTCTCAGCCGGAAACCCTTCCTTATCATGTCTTCCCGATGAGACGCTCAGAAGCAGCCATGGTTTTGGCAAAGAAGAGGAGGCGTTAAGGTGCAGCACAGTGACAGACTGCTTGCCCGAGGCGTGCACAGAGCTTCTAGCTCCTTTCATAGTATGGCACCGGAAGGAACCCAAGTTCTACCTGCAGCCCAATACTAACTGCCTGACCTTCTGACTCCACAAGTCACCAAGCAAAACCAGTGCTGTCGCTGGGCGTTGGTGACGCACGCCTTTAATCCCAGCACTTGGGAGGCAGAGGCAGGGGATCTCTGTGAGTTCGAGGCCAGCCTGGTCTACAGAGTGAGTTCCAGGACAGTCTCCAAAACAATACAGAGAAACCCTGTCATGAAAAGCCAAAAAAAAAAAAAAAAAAAAAAAAAAAAAAGAAAAAGAAAAAAGAAAATGGCCACAGATTTGCAGTGGTTTAGAAACTAGGAAAGATGGTATTGTGGCAAGAATCTTCAGTCCCTTTCTTGATGTAACTGGCAGCTCTGAGCCTGGCCTTCTGTGTCTGTGTGTCATTTCCCGAGTGTGCTAGCTGCCCCTGCTGTGACACACCTGTCACCCCTTGCACCCATTCTGCTGATGTGGCTACAGCTACCCTGATGCCCAGTAGGCATTCCCCCAGCCTGTGCAGACTGAAGGTTCTGTAGGCCCAGCTTAATTATGGGAGCCTGTGAATGGTCTCCCCACTCAGAGCAAGCCGCTCGCTTCTTCCTACCGCCTCACTCAGGAGAATACTCACTAGCGCCTGTGGCAGGGGCCTGCTCGCCCTTCACCAGGGAGTCTTGGACTGTACTTGGAGAGAAGAGCCGAGAGACAGGGGTAGACTGGTTGCTCGTGTTGTGGCTGAGGAACTCTGTGACTCCAGAAGCCTATAGAGACACAGGAGGAAGGCCATGGACACTAATGCAGAGCAGTTACACTGGCTGAGGACACAAACACAGGCCACTGTAGGGAGGTAAGCACACTAAAGCCTGCCTAGTAGTTCTCCTTACCCTGGTGATGGCAGCAGAAGCAATGACCACATTGGATGGGGACACAGTAGATGCCAGAATCCCTTCTCTCTTCAGAGGGGCTGACGTCATGATCACCTTTTGTGGTTGGCCTGAGAAGGCAGCTGTAGGAATGAGGAAAGGTGACAGTGAGGTCCCGACCCTTCAGGGGACTACCTGCTACTAATACCACACTGCTGAGGTGCAGATGGCGGGAAAGTCAAGGTATCACATACCCTGCTAGGGAAGCATGTGGCTCCTTACCAAGGGGGCAGGGAGACAAAACCCCAGGGCATCTGAAACATTTTTGTATTTTTACTTGAAAGACATGCCCATGCCCATGTATTCTCAAACCATGCTTTTAGATCTAATCCTTATTTACTTTAGTTTTTAAATTATATTTTATTCGTTTTTGTATGGTGTGTATGTGTGTGCAGGTATGCATGTGTCATGATACATGTGTGGAAGTCAGAGGACACGTGTGGAAACTGATTCTCACCTTCCACCATGTGGATCCTGGGGATGAGACTCAGGCTGTTAGGCTTGGCAGTAAGTGTCTTTACTTAACTGATCCATCTCACTAGCTCAATTTTAGTTTCTTTAAACAAGGTCTCATTATATAGCCGTGGCTGACCTGGGACTTACTCTGTAACTCAGACTGGCCTCAAACCCAAAATCTTCCTGCCTCAGCCTCTCAGGTATTGGGTTTACAGGTATGGGTCACCACAACAAAAAAGAAAGGCAGATTGCACATATGAATTATCCATACTGCTCTGTTCATTTAAATGGGGAAGGAGGTGATATGATTTTAAAGCCTGAGAAAGGGAAATGTTACTCCCTAGGCAATCTTGGCAGGCTACAACCCTAGCCCAACTCACCTGGAGCAATGCAGGCATTCTTCAACACCAAAGACACAGGCTCAGGTTTGGGAGCAGGCACTATTTTGGGGGGTTGCTTGGGTCTCACTCCCGTCAAGGACACAGGTTTGGGGTGTATAAAAGTTAAGTGAGGCTGGGGAGGCCCCACAGCTGGTGGCTGGGGTACGGGTGACAGTGCCAGACCACAGGGCGATGAGGAGGGGGCTGGGTGGTGCGCTGTGATGACAAGGCCCTGGCTCTGGCTGAAGGTGGTTGCAGAAGCATCATGGGTAAGAGTGGCAGAGGCTGTGTGGGTGATGACAGGGGTTGATTTGCTGACTCCAGCAAACTTCTGTGGCTGTAGGAAAGCTGGTGGAGTTGAGGCGTTCAGAGCAGAGGCAGGAGGAGAGACTAGGGGCAGTGCAGTCGGGACAGGTGCTGGGGCAGGGCCCGGGGAAAGTAAGGTCATAGTAAAGACAGGGAGGAAGGGCTGGGGGACACTCAGTGGTGGCTCAGAGGGACCAAAGTCTGCAGGTTGAATAAATGGGTCCACAGTCTGGGAAGTGCGTTCACAACCCTGCCCATCCGTGGGATCCAGGGCAGGGGCTGCAGAAGGTGCAATGAGGCTACTGGGCAGGTTCACAGTGGGAAGAGCTGTGTTTGACAAGATGTTCCCCTGAGGAAGGAGGAGGGAGACATGAAGAGACAAAGCTACAACTGGATAAGTAGTTCTCACTATTTAGCACTACATAACACAAAGACTAACTGGACATGGGGACACGGGGACTGAGGGTCCAAGGGATGAAGGGACAGAAGTGCTATCTGCCAGGCCCAACACACTTCTCTGCTGGGGAAACGGATCTGTGTTCCCGGGGTGTCAGGACGGGTCTTGTTTCCATAAGAACTAATGATAACACAGAGCTCAGACAAAACTGGACAGAAGCCTGGGGATATCTGGTTTCTAGAGTCCGGTTCAGATCTCTCCACAGTCCCTGCCATCTTCTGTTACAGAGCAGAAGTAGCCTAGACCACAGCTGCTCAGGGTTCCCCCAGGACAGCTTCATGTATCGACTTCCAGTCAGGCTGGCTCTTCCTGAGTGGAAAAGCTATGAGGAATCACCTGAGCAGATCTCAGTCTCTACAGAGGAAATGATTATCTGAGCTAGGTGGGAAGGTGCCAGGTTACCGGGTGACTAACTGAATTTAGTACCAACTTGAGATCTCCCCCAGGGCAGAGAACTATGCCTCAGTCAGCTCTGCAGCCCTAACACCTGCAATTGCCTTTTATTAATAGCTACATAAAAAATAAAAATAATACACAACATATTTTCATTAGTGATCCAGTGTTTTTCTTCTGTAACTAATCTTGTCTTAGAAAAGAGATGGCTGGGAGCTGGACACATACTCTAGCAGTTAGAGCACTGGCTGCTCTTCCAGAGGATCTGGGTTCAATTCCCAGCACCCACACGACAGCTCACACCTGTGTGTAGCTCCAGTCCTGGGCTTCTGACGCCCTCACACAGACATACATGCAGGCAAAACACCAATGAAGGACCCTTAGGTAGGAAAACAACTTTGTTGGCATGGTCTCCCACCTTGAGGGGAGTTAAGGATGCTTTCAAATAGGGTCCCATAATTTCTTTGCATATCCACATGCATTCAGCACTGGACCCAGCAATGGCCCCAACATGTTGTCAATTCATGGTCACAGCATGAGCCTAGCTCTGGCTGTAAAGTCTGATGACAGCCCTGTACCTGCCACGCCTGCTCCCCCAGCTTCCTTTACCTGAGAAGGTGGGCTGCTAGAATCTGGGGCAGGTACTGATGTAGGTGTAGGCAGCATGGAGCCAAAAATGGATCGGCTGGAAGAGAAGAGATCTGAAAAAGAATATGGGAGCCTTTTGAAGTTTGTGAGCTAACCATTTTCTAGAATTATGACAAGCAGGGTCCTGAACCCTACCCCACACCCCCCCAAAAAATAATTTTTTCTACAGAAAGAAGATTCTGATGGGAACTCAGGTCTGGACAATGGTGGAGCTCAAGGAGGTGGCCTAACCTTAGGTTAGGAACTTTACAGGGAAGTGGCTGTGTCACAGTGCCCTCTGCTGCCTAAAGAAGGAACTGCTCACAGTCAAGGCCAAGTGGATGCTTCTAGCAGGAAGGCAGCACTCACTGGGAGAATGCCAACTCCCTTCCAATGTCCCAGGAAACTTTCCAGGCTTTGCAGTTACTGTCAAAAAACTCTAAGCCTTTCCTTTACACCCATTTCCAACTGTCCTCTCTGCAAAAGGGGCACCAGTCTGATATGGGATGGGCACGGGAGACCCCAGTACCATGTTATCCTCTGCCCTCACCCTGGAAAGGCTCAAAGGTGTCCATGAAGTCCAGGTTGGGTTGCAAAGGGATCAGGCCTGGCTGGATCATGTCTGCATTTCCCAAATGTGCTGCAAAAGTTACATGTGAGAGAAGGGAACACTTTTTTACCTCAAACAAGGTCAAAGGAAAATATACAATTAGTTCTGGAAGAGACCCTCCTGGCCCTACCCATTCTAGAATCTTCTAACAACTGCAGGAAGCTGACTGGGATTTCTACATTCTTGGGGGTCTGTGGCCAGTCTTAGACAGCCGTGTCCTCTCCACCTTCAGAACACAGGGAAGACAGGCAGCGCTAGAATCACCGGAAGCTATGAGCCCCACTCCACGTCCCCACAGCCACCCATCCCTGCTCACTTCTCATCTGCAGCTCCGCCCTGAGGACGAGTGCAGTACTCATGGGATACACCCCACACTCCCAGAACAGTATGAGAAACCTAAGGTTCAGCTCAGAGCCTGCTGCTCTTTCACAGCCCCATTTCCAGTGTCCTCCCATGCAGCCGCATGGCGCCCTCAAAGAGCTTGGGCAGTCTTTCTCTTTTCCCTTGCCTACCCAAATAAGTATCAAGCAACAGCTCAGGGACGCCCTGAAGCAAAGCCTGGCCTAGAGAAATCTTCATGGAGAAGGAAGCCAGCTGTCCAAGGGCAGAGACTAGTTACCTATTTCCCGTGGGTTGGGCCAGGCCACCGGTTGGTGTGAAGAAAGTGTGGAAAAGAGGGTGTCACTGAATTCTGACATGAGCATGTCTGTGTCCAACAGTGAGTCCTCCTCCATGGGGACTGGGGTTTTCCAGCCATCTCCATGTTTATGCCAATAGAGCATGTCATCATCCTAGTCAACAGGGGAAGAAGAGTCAAAGGCAGTTGGATTTATCACCCTCAGTCCTGGCATGCATTAAACGGTTGCTTTGTAAAAGAGGCAAGAAGGTACAGGCACGCAGAGCTATTCCCTTAGTCTACCCAACAGAGTACGCCTGCTCCCTTGGTCCCCTGCAGGACCTCCCTGTGAGAAGGAGCTGCTCCTGGGTGTGGCCGTCCACTACAGGACTCTCACTGCTGCATCTCATCGGGTCAGTTCACTCACCTGGGCCAGGCTAGAGAGGTCCTCATCCTTGTGCTGCTGTAGCTGTGGGCAAGTGGAAAAGATGAGGCGGCCACCAGGAACCCTAGGCTGCCCCTGCTTTACCCCCTTGTATGTCAGTGAACTATGTGGGAAGCGAGTTGGGGACGGGATCCTGCTGGCTGCCATCTCATCACTGTGGGCCCAAAGAAGCCCCATTCATGGCTGAGGAAGTCATAGCCACTGTTTGGTGTTTACAATGTTGAGTACAGTACTCCCACATTATGCTCCATGACTGGCGGAGCAGCTGTGGAGCCCAGGGCCTCAGGCCATATTCTGAATACAAGCCCATCTCCCGCCTACCCAGTCCCAAGCCCTGCCCCAGAGTTCCCAGAACATGTGCTCTTGAGGGCCCTTGCCAATAGATACCCTTTTCTTGAAGTAGGTTCTCCACTTGTGATATTCCCGGATCACAATCTCAATGCGACTTTTCCAGTATTTGCCCTCTGTAGTGATGGCCTACAACAGAGAGGCCAACATGAAAAGCAGGTCTTGGATGATCATGTGTCAGCCCGTGAACACCCAGCATTCATCACTGAAGTGGCCTCAGGTAGTTCTCTTGGTCAGAAAATCCGCATGCTGCTTCAGACTACAGCTTCACTCACGGGGCACAGTTCTTCTCTTCTGAGCTACTACTTGGACTCAGGCTAAAAATGACACCAAGGGTGACTGCACTGGGGACAGGGTAAGCACAAAGCACTCAGACACAAGGCAGAGGGCTGCTTCCTCCTTGTCTGAGGATGCCAGGGAAACTCACAGGTGGCCCACAAATGCCCCTTTCCAGCAGCATCTGCCATGCTGTCAGAGAGTGAAAACGAGGGCTGGGGAGATGGCTCAGTGGGTAAAGGCACTGCCATAGAGCCTGATGACCTGAGTCTGATCCCTGGGCTTGGGACCCACATGGTGAAAGGCAAGGATTCTCAAATGTTGTCCTTTGACCTGCACACATATTCATTCTCTGTCCCTCTCTCTCTCTCTCTGTCTGTCTGTCTCTGTCTCTCTGTCTCTGTCTCTCTGCTCTCTGTCTGTCTGTCTCTCTCTCTGTGTCTGTCTCTCTGTCTCTCTGCTCTCTGTCTGTCTCTCTGCTCTCTGTCTCTCTCTCTGCGTCTGTCTCTCTGTCTCTCTGCTCTGTCTGTCTCTCTCTCTCTGTGTCTGTCTCTCTGCTCTCTGTCTGTCTCTCTCTCTGTGTCTGTCTCTCTGTCTCTCTGCTCTCTGTCTGTCTCTCTCTGTCTCTGTCTGTCTGTCTCTCTCTCTGTGTCTGTCTCTCTGCTCTCTGTCTGTCTCTGTCTCTCTGTCTCTGTCTGTCTGTCTCTGTCTCTCTCTCTCCCAGTGCTGCTGGGATTGCAGGGTTTGACATCACGCCCAGGTTATGTGGTACTGGAGAGCCAGGACTTCGTGCACGCTAGGACTGCACCTCTAGTGTGAGCTGAAGCACATGGAGTTCTTTCTAACGTCTCTGAAGTTGCTGCTTTGCTGGTGAACCTAGAGCATATGTGTGTGTTCTTCTGTATCTGCTAAAGAGCCAGCCTTCTGAATGTGCCCCAGAAGAAACACCAACTTTATGTGAAAGCAGACAATGAGGCCCTATAAGGTCAGCTTGTCTAGGGAGGCTGGGAACTGCTGGAGGCCATCACTCCTCCTCAAGGTCATATCAATTAATAGCACAACACAGGCTCCACTAATCCATTCTGTTTCCCCATAGAATCTGGCCCTTTGGTGGGTTGTTTCTTGAGAAATAAAGGCAAGGTTCCTTTCCAACACCCTCCCTCCTACCCTCTATTCAATCACTTGCTGGTTAAGTACCTCTGGCCGGCGGTGTTCATCTACATCAACAGAGCCATCTAGTGGAGTAACAAAGTGGCACACGGGATTCTTGCGTTTCTCCAAATCTGGGTTGGGAGAAGAGAGACATCATACCTGCTCTACCCAAACCACTACACCATGGAGTGCTCTCCCTTCTTCCACTGGAGCATTCAGACCCAAGGCAAAGAATGCCAGTAACATCCGAGTAAAAAAGGAAGCTGCTCATCAAACAAAGGCAGCCAGGGAGCTGGAGAGTCCACCCTGCTCCTCAAGCACGCATCCTCCCATCCTCAAGCTAGCCAGGAATAAATATCTCTACAGTGGTAGCCACATCTTCTTAACCTGCTAGAAACAGAAACTGCTCTTTGGATCCCCAAATGTTAGCTCTTGGCTACACTCTCCCAACTCTCCTGAAAAGAACCCTTATTCCGTAGGGCCCAAATACCCAGCGTGCACTACACATTGTGGTCAAGGTCTCATATGCCTGTCCCTTCAGACTCTGGGCTCTGTTGGCTGACTCTGCCTGATGGCTGGTGAGTGGCCTGGTTCCTGGAATGTATTAGCACTTGATTTCCTATCACAGACACTCAGGAAATATTTTACTGCAAACATCTTTTAAGAGCAGACTGTAGACCCAAGGTGCTCAGGCTTCCAAGATGCAGAGCTCTGATACCACAGAATTAAGAGCCCCTGTAGTATAGCATACCCACTGCCAAGCCTGCAACACACTTACACTGCATGTACCATGCCCGCCAGATGGCGTTGTTGAGCCGGATCTTGTCCCGCCACTGAAGCTTCAGACCCTTGAAGTTTTTCCACTTTGGAGATACTAACTTCCCACTGGAAAGCAACAAAGAGGGGAGAGTCAGTAGCTCTTCAGAAAATAAACATGGGACCCAATCATTCCAGACTTCAGAACCCTGGGCTGATCCATTACAAGATAGACCTGACTGATCACAGTCACTCCAGGATTTCTTTACAGTATATGGAGAGAATAGGACGTGACAATGTTCAGGCTTACATGCTGCAATTCAATATCAGACATAGGGTTTGTTGTATGCTTTGGGTTTCTGCTTATCCTTAATGTTTCTCATAAACATTTAAAAGACATGTTGTCAGGTGTGGTGGCATACATCTTTAATCCCAACACTCAGGAGATAGAGGCAGAAGACTGTGAATTCAAAGTCAGCCTAGACTATCAACTGACAATGGAAACGAGGCACTTTTTACCAGGTCTTGGTCTACTTCTTTTGTTCTCAGTCACCAATGGCTCATCTCAAGCCATCTGAGAAAGTGTTTCTTAGCTGCTAGAAGGTGGCTGCTGGCTTAGCTCCTGGGAAACTGAACTACCATGATGGTTGTGCCACCAGGGAGCTCATGTTACCTGTTATTAGCCTAGTCTGTGAGCACTTTCAACTTACTGTGCAAGAACTTTTTAGATTTATTTTAAAATGTGTGTGTGTGTGTGTGTGTGTGTGTGTGTTGTGTGTGACTTATGTGTGCGTACTCATGGAGGCCAGAAGAGGGCTTTAGTTCCTCTTGAGTTGTAGTTACAGGTAGTTTATGAGCCATCTGAAGTAGCTGCCGGGAACTGAACTTGGGTCCTCTGAAAGAGCATCAAGTGCTCTTAACCACTGAGTCATCTCCCCAGTATCCAATTCTAGAAGAATTTTGAGGCATTCCCTGACAATTAAAGATGGCACTGATGGGAGCTCTGAGAACAGTCATGAGACATCCACGCTCCTTCTGCTGTGTCTGACACACATGCTCCTTCCTCTTTAGAACTCCTCCTACCTGGCCCCTGCTCTACCTTCAGACACTGCTTTACCACATCTGCTCTAGGTCAGTGCTGGCCTCTCCTAGGCTGCTCCTTCTGATGGACTGAGACAGTAAGGCACTATCTTTAGTTCATACAGGTGCTGAAGAGCATCTATCTGATGACAGGTCACAGCCCAGTCCCTTCTCCAAATGTACTCAGAAAGAACACATGAGTGGCAGAGCTGTGTCCAGTCATGGAAGCTCAAGTATTTTCAGACGTATCTAAGCAAGACACTGCGTGAACCTGAAAGCTTGGTACATAAGGAATGTTCCCTGCTGAATACCTGGCAGAACTTTTTATCTGTTTCCACCCACACCATCAGGTTTTGGATTATGTCACACAGAAAGCTGTGGCCCCGGGAGCTCAAAGACAGCACAGCCATTAAAGAGTAACTGCTGTTCTTGCAGAGGACCAGTGTGAGGGTTACAGCACCCACAAGACCACTTGCAACAGCCTATAACCCCCCCAGTTTCAGGGTACTAGATTACCTCCTTCTGGCTCCCACAGACACCAAGCATGCATGCAGCTACAAACATACACATAAAATACATAAAAATAATTTTTTGTAGAAAAGAAATAAGTTGTGATGCAAATGCAGCCCCTAAAAAGTGTCATAGCACATCCTCTATCTCTTCCCCCCTCCCCAGAGACAGAGTTTCTTTTTTTTTTTGTTTTTTTTTTGTTTTTTGTTTTTTGTTTTGTTTTTCAAGACAGGGTTTCTCTGTATTGTTTTGGAGACTGTCCTGGAACTCGCTTTGTAGACCAGGCTGGCCTCGAACTCACAGAGATCCGCCTGCCTCTGCCTCCCGAGTGCTGGGATTAAAGGCGTGCGCCACCAACGCCCGGCTGAGACAGAGTTTCTTGTGTACCCCTGGCTAGACCAGGCTGGCCTCAAACTCAGAGATGCATCTGCCTCTGCCTCCCAAGCACTGGAACTAAAGTCGTGTGCCACTACTACCCAGTGAGAACATCTCTTAGTATCTGGGAGGGGAGACACAATGACAGTAGTCTCTACCCAAAGAGTCAGGAGCCTCTGAAGAGTCTTCCCCCTTCCTCTCCTTTCAATGCCACTCCAAAGGCATGCCTACTCACCCTGTGACTGATCAGCCCCATTTATGATCATAACGTCATGATCATAACAGAGCCTTACAGGTCTGGAGCCTCCACCGCCTCTCCCCCACAGCTGTGAGTCTTTGTTGGCAAAGAGGTGTTCTGGTGCTTCTGTTTGCTGGGTAAAATCACAACAATGCACCTCTTCCGCAGTATTTTTACAAAAGTTTGGATGAGGGTGTGTCTGTACATGTACACGTGTGTGTGCATGTGTCTGTACATGTACACGTGTGTATGCATGTGTCTGTACATGTACATGTGTATGCACATGGAAAAGGAAGATGCTTTGTGCTTACTTCAATCCCAGGAACGGACATCTGAGGAAGGTTGGCCCCACTACACACAAAAGCAGCGACAGAACCACGGCTTTGCATTTACTCATGTATTAAGTACCTACTCTGTGAGTAAAGATCTAAGAACTGGGGGAGGATATAGATGAGACACAGGTCCACGCCATCCCATTTCACACAGGTCCTGTGTGAAAGAACATCAATGTAGGGACTAAAACCTAAGCTACAGCCACGGAGAAGACAGAAGGTCCACACTGCTCCTGCCTGGCTTGCGACTGTGCTGAGGCCATACAAATGGGGCTGGTCAGAGATATAAGATCCTTGCAGGGCCAGCCCAGACAAGGCTTCACTCAGCTCCTATCCTCAACTAAGTCAATCCCCTTCCCATTCCATGCACACTCCTCCAGCATCCTCAGGCCTGAGTGCAGTTCTATTATACAAACGAAATTAAGGAACAAAACATAACTAAAACAAAAACTCCTTTTCTATAACTGAAACTCCTTCCTCTTGTGCCATGTGCTCAGCAGTAGCAGAATCTGACAGAGTACTAACTACCTCAGAGACAGCTATAAAGGACCTACAAAGAGCTGTGATGGACCCAGAGTCCCAGCAAGAAACAGTGCTAGGGCCCCGTCACTATCCGTGCAGAGTTAAGCACCAGACTCACCTATGACCATCTCACCTCTGCTGTGTACCTTTGAAAAAGGGCCAGTGTGCTATGACAACCTCACTTCCATCAGACTACATGGCACCCTCAGGTAGGTATGATAGGAGCAAAAGATACAGAGGAGGATACCAAATATAAACAATGTGAGGGTTCCATGCTTCTCCCCCACTGCTTGCTGAGACATTTCTCTTGTTCAGGATACTTAGGGCAAATACAGTCAAACTTCAGCAGGAACATACATATTTCTAAACTTCCACCATCATGGCATGTTTATATTATATATCGAGAGCCAGCAGGTGGCGCTGTATACCCATAAAGAAACTAGTCAAAAACCAAACCCAAACCCTGTCTGGTGTACAGAATGGATGACAAGTCCTACAGCCACTGCTCACAGTTGTACCATATCAGAAGTTACAAATGGTGAAGAAAGAGGGGGAATGCAGCTCAGCGGTGGAAGTATTATGAATCTCTTTCCTGCTGGTCTCTTTAGCACCTCACAGAAGGAAGAGGATCTATTTATACAGGAGTCCTTCTCATTACAGTTTCCTACAAAACTAAGAAAAGCTGTTATAAAAGACTCCACCAGAAGCAGAGCACACAGAAACTTCTCTGATCAGACTTCTGCTTCCCACATTGACTTACAAGGACACATCTTCCAGATAGTTCAAGCATAAGCCTTCCATAGAAACATAACCAGAAATACTAAAGAAATTTTGTAAGATCACTGGCCTCTCCCCAGTACCTTGACACTTCTTCCAGCCCCTATTTCTGAACTTTGTTCTTCTTATGTCACAGTCATGATTCCAAGGAACACTTACCAGGTACTTAGCCCCACCCCCAAACTGTGAAAAGGCCACCACAGTCTAGCTCTGACTCATCTTAGGACTGCTGGTCCAGTGCAGGCACAGAGGAGCTTTTAAATGCAGTTATTAAATAAACACTTACTGTTTCCATGAAGAAGTCTTCATACACTATGTTGCTGCCCCCTTCACAGAAGGAAGGTTGCTGACAAAAAAAAAAAAGGAAATTCACAGGACAACAAAGGCCCTCTTAAACTTTTGTTGGTTGGAGCTAGCAAACCGTGAGTGGTCTGACAAGAGACTACTTTAGAATAGAAATTAATATGCAAGCCTCAAAAAGAAGGCACTGGATAATCAAGAAAACAGGGAGGGCAGGAGGGGTCATGGATTCTGCTTGCTGGAGAGATCTGGCCCATTAACGTCCCCTTAAAGGGCCAGTGAGGGGGGCTCACAAGGTAGCACTGCAGGCCCACAAGTCCCTTCCACTCCCTGAGGAGTGAGGTGGGGGGCTAGACAGCTTTTTGGTGGTGTGGCCACTATAAGTAACCTCAATTAAACTTGATAATGTGCATGCTGATGGAATCACATCTTCTGCTCTGTCATCAACACCCTATCTAGGGTGATAAACATTTGTTTACATCTCCCAGGAAAAGCCATGTAACATATGGACAGACTGCAGATCCTGTTAACTAGTGTTGCTAGGAAATGAGGAGGATTCTGGGAAACACAGGCAGAGTCAGTCGACATGTAGGATGCCAGAAGAGTAACACCATGCCGGGCATTACTGGGTAAGTCACAGCCTCGTGGCAATACATAGATTGATAGAAATGTGTTAATAATTAAGACAGAGCTAGCCAGTAAGAAGCCCAAGCCAATGGCCAACAGTATTATAACTAATATAGCGTCCATGTACTTCTTTGGGGCTCAAGGGCCGCAAGACCTGCCGGGCCAGAAAACTCACGCTTATTCCTGTTTCATGAGAGAGTCTGCCAAACATTCTACAGAACACAGAGAAAAAAATGACTAACAAACTGCCAATATAGGCAGCAGAGTTTCAAATTTCCTGCTTCACCGAGAAGTCTGTTAGATAGTCTAGGCCAATAGGTTGAAGATAGATGCCCCAATGTTACAGAAGAACTTTGGGTGACTGTCCA